CCTTGGAGCTGCGGGGATCTCCAGAGTATAAGCGGGCAAGCTGGTGATGCCACACTCCGCATACACGGCCACAGCTTGGAGCTCCAGGCCCACCTCCTCCAATACACAAAGGCAAAGAATGCAGCCTAGACACTTCCAGGGAGTGTTCAACAGCAGCCTGCAGTGCTCCATGCTGGACTCGATGATCTTCTGAGGTCCCTTCCAGCCCTAATGTCTATGAATCTATGAATGCTAGGGAGGACATGTTCCAGCAGGGAAGCTGAAGCTGGAGCAGAATGGGTTGCCCTAGGAAGCCATTTTCAGCAGCTGAGTCACAGAACGGAGCAGGGAGTTTTGTGCTCCTAGGAGGCAGAGGCAGCGTTCTGTCAGGAGAGCAGATACAAAGTGCCAGGATGGACAGGACAACACACCAGAGCAGCCTGCACCTCACACGCTTCCTGCAGATGGCAGAGATTTTGTTGGCTCAGACTTATTCTGCCCTGGATGGGCAAGATCACCCCAGCACTGTCTTCTATTATTGGTATCAGTCCCCCTCTGAGACAGCTTCCTTCATTGAGAGGCCACGATGCACTAAAAAACGCATGGCAAAGGCAGCAGCCCTTCACTCACCTCTTCTGGGAACTCCTCCCCCACCAGAGCCATAATCAGGGATGTCTTCCCCACCTGGGCTACGAGAGAAAGAAAGGAAGAAGTCTATGGGACTCACACAGGCTCAGAGCTTGGGAACGGAAAAGACACAAAATACTTAGGCTGTCACCTGTCCTGGTGACAGAGCAGATGTGGGCTCAGATGTGCAAATCAGAAGGTGTGAAGAGTCCAAAGGTTAACGGGTGTAACTACCTAGACCGGGCTGGATCCTTTTGGGAACTGTACACTCCCTTCTAAAACTGAATCTCCAGCTGCTTTGTGAAGCACGGAGGGCTGTCAGTGCCATGACAAAGGACATGTTAACAGTGCTTGCCACCAGGAAACACTGCAGTGAAGGTCATAAACTCTCCAGCTCCTATCCTGGTTCCACATGCTCCCAACCTCCCCAGAGCATTTGCTCTTTGTGGTACAAGTGGCCTTGTCTAGGCTCAGCCTACAGGGGACCTGTTTGAAGGGAGTCACAACAGCTAGTCTCCAAGCTAAAAGAGCATGAAAAAATACTATTCTCCCCTCCCCACAACCTAGTGATAACAGGCACTTATATAGGTGGAAAGTGCATCACGTACGAGTGTTATGCAGCTGGGGGATGCACAAGTGGGCAGCTCAGTCCCAGAGATGAAGTACCCAGCAGCACACGGCCAGGCAGCAATCCCCTGGGTCTGCAGACAGGCTTGTGCTCACACCAGCAGACCACAGCTGCCTCGAAAGATGCATTTTTTTTTAAAGCAAACATAGGAGACCTCTGCAGCTCGGGAGCTGGCACAAAGGCAGCTCTTTGCTGAGAGCTGTCTGAGTCAAGTGTGAAAACCCCCACCTCATTTGTACTGAGGGTGCTGCCTGGAGCCTGAGCAGTGGGAACATCATTACGTTTTAAGCATGCATGTCCAGACCAAGGGTTTATCAGCATCCGGACGTTGGCTAGCTGGGTGACGGTGCTGGTGTAACTCTACACAGGGCTTTAAGAGAATCTCTTCTCTGAATTAATGGGCACTGCTCTGAAAATGGGAGCAATTAACACGGAACGGGGCACTTGTTTTGGAAGAGGAGGTCCCCAGGAGGGCTGTGCCGGGCTAGTGCAGCTGAACACCGCCGGCCAGTCCCCCCTGCAGTTCTGCGGGAACAAGACCCGAAGGCAGGTACA